TTGTTTAAAGTAAAGTTCATCATATGCATTGTACTTAGCATCTCTTACCCTCTTTTTTACTTCTTTATTAGACAGCTTGTAAATTTAAAGTCTTCTTCGTGTTTAGTATTTTGCTATGTTTATAGGACTCTTTTTGGCTTTTACTGCCATTTGGACCTCATCATTTCATCACCAAGTTTTTCTTTCTTGATTCTCTAAGAACTTCGATAGCTACTTTTTTAATATGTCCTACCAATGTATTCCATATTGTATTTGTTTCATCTTCTAAATCACACTAGTGTTTTAAAATTCAGCCAGTCCTGGTGGTTTGACCCGGTGAATTGGAGCCTAAACTGGGCCGATTCTTATTTTAGATCGTTCGAGTATAAAAATTGGAAGAAACTCGCTGAACCGGGTAGTTCTCGAGCAAACCCATTGAACTGGACGGTTTATAACAAATCGGGCGGATAATTAAACCATTATAAAAACTCGAGATTTGTCCATTTTGGGCATTTTTTTGCCCTAAATCATTTGGCCTTTGCCTCACCTTGCCTCATGAAGGTCTCATATCTAATGTCCGTTCGATGACTCTCTCTTTCTCTCAGTCTCTCTTTCTTTCTCATTCTGTGCTGCGACTCATCGAAGTGGAAGTGGAAGTGGACTTGTTGAAGACTCGAAGGCTAGACCGGGACTCAGTTGGAGCTCCATCGGCATCGACGATCTGCTTCACTCAGTCTCTGCACATGTTCATTCTCCCTCCCTCCCTCTCTATATGCATACTTTGATCAAGGCATTATCTAAGTATTACTTGAGCTTTAGAGGACGTTATAGAGTAATTAGAGGACGGTTGTAACGGTAATGAAAAAATGCATCAAACCAGATCTGACAAGTAGGTATTACTTGAGCTTTCTTGGGACTGCTCAAGCCGTCTCACAACCCCTCGAGAGTCATTAGTCTTTTTCCAAGTGTTCAGAAAACGCTTACATATTTGGAGATACAACGACAACGTGAGAATTTTCAGGTTGTTTTGTTATTGTCTAGCCGAACTCAAAGTATAGCGTGTTTAAAGATTAGATCTTAGTTAGCGAGAAACTCTAGACTACTGCCAATGTTTATTCTTGCCTTCAGCGTGCTTCTCCTTCATCCTCACTAGAGTCCTCTACCTTGACCTCTAGTGATAGTAATCGTGGTCGTGGACATCGTCTAATCCAAGGTAGTGGGCATAATGGTGCTCGTGGTGATAGATGTATTGGTCGTGGAGGACATGGTGATAGTGCTGATCGTGGTCATTGATCTGAGTGGAAGTGTTCTTAATGTGGGGTTACTGGACATACTGAGGATTATTGTTGAGATAAGCATGAGACATCGGCCTATGCTAATCAGGCCAGTGATGACTTGGTTTCACTTGTGTCTCAGTCATCTACTAATGGTCTTGTTGTATTTCATATGTTTCTCATGGGTAGCCTTACCTCTCAACACAGTCATCTCGTCAAATAATTGTCTTCACTCTCCTAAGTTGCCTACTTCTAATGATAGTTTGTCTAATGTAGGTGATTCTGCATATTTGGCATCCCACCCACCTTCACCTCTAGACGAAGGTGATTGGTTTAGGGCATGGACAAAATGGTATTTACTATTTGGATTTAAGAGATTCTATTCCTGCATTGAGTGCTACCATGTCTCATCTTCAGTGATATTTTCGATTAGGTCATCCTATATTGCAGAAGCTTCATCAAGTTATTCCTATGAATGGAAGTATATATTAGATTTAGTGTTTGAAACTGGTGCTCTTGGTGTATGCCTGATCGATACTCCCATGGACTCTATAGTTAAGCTAGTTGCTAAGAATGGAGAGAAATATGACGTTATTGAAGGTTAGTTGATAAGCTAATTTATCTCACAGTTACATGCCCTGATATTACATAGATTGTTGATGTAGTTAGTCGGTTTATGCACACTCGTGTAAGCCTCATTGGGAGGCTATATGTTGCATTCTTCGGTATCTGAAAGGAGCACCGGGTAAAGGGCTGTTGTATCGTCTCTCATCATCTATAACTGCCACTAATTTTTTTTGATGCTAACTGGGTAGGTAGTCGACTTGACAGTAGATCTTCTTCGAGTTACTATATGTTTGTAGGTGGTAATTTTGTTACTTGATGTAGTAAGAAACATAAAATAGTTGCACGTCCTAGTGTGGAAGCTGAGGATCGCGTTATGGTTCATAATGCTGGTGAGATGTTGTGGATTTGTTCTCTATTTTGTGAGATGGGCATTGGTGTGACATCTCCACACATTGTCTCAAGCAATTATTTTCATTGTGAGTAATCCAATATTTCATTAGTGTACTAAACACACAGAAGTAGATTTTCATTTTTTTCGAGATCTCTTAATGTGAAAGAAAATTATTACTCCATGTATAAAGTTTGGTGATCAACTGGGTGATATTCTTCCCACGCTCCAAGCTGGACATCATTGATATTTATGCTCCAGTTTGAAGGGGAGTATAGTTCTTTTGTGTATTTAGTCATAATACGCAGGTGTAGGGTAACATTGTAATTACCCACAATATTCTTCTAGTATAAGTAAGAGGGCGTATGGCAAACATAGTATTATTCTTTTCAATCTCTTTTTTTTTCCCCCGAAACCTTGATATTAATTTTACTGTTCAATTCCTGTGCATTATATAACAGTCCTAGAAAGTGTGCTCGCATTCCGCCTTCTAATCTTATAAGGCTATACAATATGTAGGGCTTCGGTTGACACCTCCCTCCTTGAAGCTTAGATTATCTCCTACAAAGTCTTAATTTTTCATGGCCAAGCCGGATAGATTTAGGATTGCCTTTGTTCCTCACACCCAACAACATACTAAAACATAGTTTTCTGCCCATTGGTCTTGTTGGATTATTTGTGGACCATGAAGGAAATGGCTTTTTGTTCTCCTTAGAAGGCATGGAAGGATTTTGCTATTGTAAGGCCTTAATCAGTTGCTTAGATTATCAATCAGTAAATTAATTAATAGCAAAGAATAGAGCGGAGAGAGGGAGCAAGGGGACACGTTTTTGCGTTCTGATAAAGTTGAGGGCAATTTGTTATTTTGCTTTACATGAAAAGAGGATTGAAGTACCAGCATTTTTCATAGTGCTAATAGTGCCATTCTAGTTTTTAATTGGCATAAGAACCATTGTATTAGGATAATGGGGGGTTTATTTTGGAAGATTTAGCATCCTATGAGAATTAGAGATTGTTAGTGATAAGCTTCAGTGACGAAAAAATGAAGTCAAGAAACGCTTAGGTTTGCATAGCATATTTATTGTTCAAAAAGTTTTAGCAAGTATCAAAAAGTTTTAGTAAGTATCATAGAGGCTAAGGAAACATTAAACATGGGGATAAACTTACTACGACGACCATACAGAAGAATTAGTTGATTCTGTAGGTTGCAAAGTTGCTACCCACACATGATTTGTGGATCTTATGAAACTTAAATAAACTCCTATAAATCACCTTGCCACAATAGCATTTTAGTTTACTGGTGTGATATCTGCTAAATAAGCTGATACAATTCAACTCAACGTAACAAAGTATTATCTCAGCTATTTGAGGTCGGCTACATAAATTCTATTATATCATTGTGCTCTATCCAGGGCCCTATTTTCTGTCAAATCACAAGCTATCATATATTTTTACTATATCATTCAATAATAAGTTTGGTCTATCTTTATCCCTTGCCTTACCAGCAATAGATATCATATCACTCTTCCTCAATGGTGTAGTAATAGGTCTTCATAAATATGTCCATACCACTAAAGTCAATTCTCTCTTAACTTATCTCCTATTAGTGCCACTTCTACGGTCTATGAATATTCTTATTACTAGTTCTATAATTTATGGTTTTAACTACACGCAACTGAACTTATCGTTTATGCGCGGTCAATCATTATTTGTCTGATGGCTGTCAATTTAAGAGGTATGAGTCAATCATAGACCAAGCCTGATGCATTCCTTGAGCTACTAGTCCATTCTACTTTGATGCCATGACTAATATCGTCTATAATCTCTTCCTCCTTGTGGATAATTGACTCCAAATTTCTAGAGAGTTCACTCTGTGATGTCTTTACTATCTCTTGATTGACTGAAAATGACACAATCAAGTAAAAATATTGTATCATCAAGACATGATATATACCGTGGAACTCATCTTGAACTTGTTTAGTTAATTTATCCATAATCAGAGCAAAAAGACAGACTTAAAGTGGAATCCTGATGTAATCCTACGACGATTGTAAATTCTCTAGTCTCTGCTATAGTTGTTTCTATTAAAATCATTGCGCACTCGTACATATCATATCATATCATAGTCCTTTACAAGTTCATAAAAACCACATAACAATCTTTCTTTTTATCTCTATGCATCTCTAAAGCATATGACTTCCATTATTGAATTCCCAAGCATAAATCTAAATTCATTCTCAGATAATGGCGTTTAAATTCTTAACTGTTTCTTGATAATTATCTTCTAAAGTTTCTTTGTATGACTCTTGAATGTAATATCTCAATATTGTGCAACTTAGAACGTCCTCTTTGTTTTTATGTATATGTACCAAAATTCTCTTCCTTCACGCATTTGACATTTTCTTAGTCCTTAGTCTTACGAAATAACTTGTTTAGCTGCAGTACTGCAATTTTTCCAGAACATTTCCAAACCTCAATGGGTATGCCATAAGTTATCAGGTTTTTCTAATTTTCATTTTCTATAACACATTCTTTACTTTTGATGCCCTATTTTTATGGAAAATTTTCGCTAATCTCACCGTTTATTATATTCTTTCACATCTAAGACCCCCTGGATGATTTCCACTTGATAACTTCCTAAAGAACTTTTTCACCTACCTTAATTTCCTCATTTTTTAAAAAGACTCTTTAATTTATCCTCTTTCTTTTCATTACTTGTGTTTAGCTTAGAATAAAGATCATCATATTCTTTTTCTCTTTCCTCCATCAGAAAGTTTTGTCAATGTCTGCAGGTGACCTTAAACTATCTATTAGGGAGATTGGGTAAGAAATACTCAAATACTGTTGGAGTGGTTGATCTCGGAGGTGGATCCGTACAAATGGCATATGCCATTTCGGAGTCAGATGCTGCAAAGGCTCCAAGGATATCAGATGGAGAGAATACATATGTGCAGGAAATGTATCTCAAGGGAATGAAATATTACCTTTATGTTCACAGGTTCCTCTCATCCTTTGTAATTAATTGATGTCTTCATTGTGTAATGATGAATTGCTTGCCTACTACCTCATGCGGTCCAATGGTTGCTGTGATGTCCTAATTAGCTTCATTGAATGAACAATTTTATGATGTTGATTGAGCTTTTCATTTGTTGATTAAGAAAAATTGAGACTGAATGATGCTCTTAATTCAGAGGTATATCCTTGTATTATTTTGTGGTGTCATAATAAATAATAGTTCTGCTTTTAATTAGAAGTATCATTTTCCTTGCTGTTTTTTAATATGTTTTCCACATCACGTATCCAGTTATTTGCACTATGGCTTACTAGCAGCCCGAGCTGAGATTCTGAAGGTTGCTGAAGAAGCTGGCAGCCCATGCATCTTGGCAGGCTATCATGGTATGTCCAATTATTCCAGTTTCATGCGGCCTGATTTTGTAGTGGGGACTACTGTTACTCAGCTTTCCTGTTAATCTTTTCCCTCTTTCTTTCTTTTTCTTTCTTTCTTTCGTCCTTTTTTCTTCTACCTAGGGCGCTTGCATATAAGGTGCACATCTTCCATGGATAATATAGAACCAAAAAATGTAAATGAATTTGTACTTCAAAATTGTCTAGAACCAAAAAGTACTATGCAGTTTTGCATTCACATTCCAATCATTGAATGTAATATGCTGGCTTTATAGTTTCTCCCATCAAGCTAATTGTCTGTATGTTTTAATTATAGTGACGTGATTATTGCCATTCACATGATGAAGTAGATGTGCCAAAGTAATAAACTACATTGCGATAATGTGTATATGCCTAGGAAGCACGGATACGAATATGAGATACGAGTACGATACAGATACTACAATATGACAAAACTCTAAAAAATAAGATATGGGTACGGTTGGGATACGTTTATATATATATATATATATATTATTTTTACTATTATGTAATGATTTGATAATTATAATTTTTTTTAATTCTTTAACAATAATAAATAATATTAACAATTTTTTATTTTTAAGAAGTTACCTATCGTCTCATTATGGTACATCTACAAAGTGAACGTAATTAATTAAAGAAATAAGAACCAGCATTTACCTATATTGTTTGCTTAGAACTATTTGTTGTTAAGATTATAAAGTAATCAACTCATTTAAACTTTTTGGACATGTGATATTAGGTAATACTTGAAATACACCCATGTGTCTTCCAAGTCGTATGAATTTTTATTGATGTATGCATTATATGTGAAATCAAAAGGAAGAGATAAAGATTAAAACTAAAAATTACATCTACTTATGTGCATATAGAAGTATCCGCGAAGTATCTATATATTGTATTTATTATTGGATATGTTTGGTATATATCGGATATGTATCCTCGATTATCCAATAAGTATAATATCCGATACGGATACGTTGACCTTAACGAAATATTTGTGCTTCATAGGTGTATGCATTGTCTTTTTTTGCATGATTAATAGGGATGCAATGAATGACGATAGAAGGTTTGCTGCTTCCCACTTTTCTCTTGCTATTTCATCCACCTTTACTTTATCGTTGCTCTGTGTGTGTGTGTTTGCACTCGTGTGTGGGCATGCTCTTTTCTGCGGTTAGAGTTTGCTATTTTATCTTTTTGCAATATAACTTCTCTTGTTCATCTTCCTAACCGGAAATGGGTGAAGAAAATAACAGTATGCATTTTATAACTGTTGGGCCCTTTGAAGTCTGAACGTTAGTTATTTACAATTTGTCTCCATACTTTGTTTTGTAAGCAACTGCAGCATTAATAATTGTACTAAGCATTTTTTAAGGGAGATACAAATATGGAGGAACATTTTATGAAGCATCAGCTTCTCCATCTGGTTCAAGCATGAACAGATGCAGGGAAGTAGCTATAAAGGCTCTCAAAGTTAATGAATCAACATGCACCCACATGAAATGCACATTTGGTGGAGTATGGAATGGTGGAGGTGGGGACGGACAGAAGAATCTGTTTGTTGCTTCATTTTTTCATGACAGGGCTGCCGAGGTATAAATCATTCCTCTATTCATGTGTTTGGAAAATGTGGAAGTTAAACTTTTTGACAATGGGCCACTGAACTTACAAAAAGAAAAAGCAGGGGGCCACTTGTTAATTGGTCAAAATTCGACCCAATAATCTTGAGGTTGTGGGTTCGAACCTGAGGGCAACCACTTTTGTTTATAAGGCTGACATAAGGCCTGTACCCATTAATGGGGAATAAACTGGTGGGTTTTTTTTTTTTTTCAAGTTGAACTTATTTCATTCTTGTTTCTGTGTAACCATGCTGATTGGAGTGTTTCACATTAGGCTGGTTTTGTTGATCCAAACAAGCCTGTTGCCAAAGTTCGTCCAGCTGATTTTGAGGATGCAGCTAAGCGTGCTTGTGAAACTAACTTGAAGGATGCTAAATCTTTATATCCTCGTGTGGATCCTGATAACCTGCCATACTTGTGTATGGATCTTGTGTATCAGTTCACGTTGCTTGTAGATGGGTTTGGTAAGTTTTACCCTCATCAACGTATCCTGCAAGCACCTATTGACATCCTCTACCTCTCAAGGCATTTTTATACTTTAGATTACTGACTCTTTTTTTTTTTTTTTTTTATGTTTTTGTTTGGGGACAGCCCTAGATCCTTGGCAAGAAATTACATTGGTGAAACAAGTTGAATACCAAAATTCACTGGTTGAAGCAGCATGGCCGTTGGGCAGTGCCATTGAGGTTTTGTCATCATTGAAGGAACCACATACTACATAATTAGCTTAATCGGTTGTAATGTTGGTGCCATGTGGTTCTTATGAATCAACAGTTTACAATCAGTCATTCACAGTCAATAATGATATAATTTCCTGCCGGAAAGTAAGTTTGCTTCAGCTCATGCGAAGTTGAATTGGAAATTGAATTTTGGGTTAATATCTAGAACAATGAGAAATCATGATTTAATTTATCTTCATCTGTAATTAAGCTACAGAAAATGCTGATTTATCGTTTTAGAAAAAATTGAGATTATTTGATTCATGGATATTTAATTGCTGAAAATTTGAAATAGATGCTACCTTATTAATTGGCTGGTCGAAAAAAAGGAAATTACTGGACTATTGCATGGTGGGAAAAAAAGAAGTACGCCTACGAAGAGGTGATGTCCACGTAACAAAAGCAATAAGGATATATTCTTTCAATAGCTATGTTTCCTTGTTCATAATGGATGATGTTACAACAAGTACATTCCGTTTCTATGTGCTATAAAAAAGCATTACACTACAGAAAGTACGGAACAGAAATTACAGCGGATGTTTTACTAAATTCTCCTTTTCTCTCTTTCGACTGGAATATTATGGTGAGCCGAAATTACTAATTTTGCGCAACCTATTTATCAGTTACAATAATCAAAGACTAATGCTATTGGAGAGAAGGCATAGAAAGCTTTCTGTCCCCTTTTTTCTGAACTTCTTTTTTTCCCCCCAACTTAACAAACCAAATTAAACGGTTACTAAACTATTACTATTTAGTCAAAAAAAGAGGAGGTTTGAATGATACAAATATTTTTGGGGAAAAAGGAACTCCAACTCCAGAGGTTGACACTTTTGTGTAGCATATCCACGGTGAGAAATTTTGGGTCCAAAAGGACAAAATCAGACTGAAAGACCATACTTTCTTTACCTTATGCGTTATCCATGCATTGATGTCTCTCTCTCAATTGCTAGCCAGAAATGCAACAAAGCATCAACTACGTCCACGATAATGACATGTGAGACATCAACTCTTGCAAGTCACCATGAATCCAATAGATTCTGAATGTGTAAAACTTAGAAATATCTGAACTCTGGCTGTTAGAAATGGAAAATGATGGTGGTTTCAACCACAAAATTAGCACCACACCGACGATATGATATCAAAGCTCAAGGACACGGAGATTTTGATAAGCTCTTCCTGCTCATAGTCGCCATCGAGATCAAATTTTTGATCTAACCTTGTATCTGCTGTGTTAAAGATAATGAAGATGAAAATGTTTTTAGAGAAAGAGAAGAGATTAAAGGTGAAAGTAAAACACAAAACGATGAAAGTTGGAAGAGAGCGTAAAGGTGGAGTGCATTTCACGAGAAAAATGGAAGAAAGAGGAATACAACCCAGTTTATAAGTTTGTGTGATAATCAAACATAAGATCAGTGAGTGGTCAAGCCTTTAAAAAAGCACAATAATGTATTAAAATCAGCTAGCTTGCAAAAGTGCAAAGTTACCATGTCTCCAATTCCTCGAAGTATTAGTTCAACAAATTATTAAAAGATTAGATTACAGAAAAACAACATAGATGTAGTTTTAAAAATTGGTAAATTTCACTGTCGGGTAATATTTTACAGGTCAAATTAAGAGCGAAATTGGATAGTGAAATGCATATTTTACTATCCTACTTCAATGTCTTTAATGGTTCGCTTCAATTCTGTTCATTCCATTATTGTATAGGTCTTGAACACGTTATTGTATTGCTCTACTTTTTCATGAGTATTAATGATTTTGTTACAATATTGGTTAACACCTTGATTTTTATTTGTGGGTAATGCCTTTGATATGTTTGGGTTTGGAGATTTAAAAGACATTGTTGACTTGATGAAAATAGACAATGAAATAACTCTTGTTTTACCTTCCAATTTCACCGTTTCAATGGCATGAAACAAGTCTATTTCATTACAAGGATACGTCCAATTTCACTGTCCAAGAGAAGGAAATATTATTTTGATAGTAAAATAAGACCCAGTTTAATTATTTGGGTTTGAAGACAAAAAAAAAAACACTTTAAAATCAATGAAACGAATATTATAATAAAAAAAAACTCGATTTCACTGTCCAAGGCAGAGAAAATTTCACTGCCAATTTAATTATTCACGGCAATGAAATTTACATAATTTCACTGTTTATTTTTTCAAATTCGTTGTCCATTTTCCCACCTAACTTAAATCGATTGTCCATTTTCTCACTTAACATGGGCTGGCCACATTTGGGCTATGGAATATATGTTAGTCTGTCTTACACAGTAAAATTGAATAATGAAATACATATTTCACTATCTACGTTGCAGGGCTGTGGTGGCTTTGTGGCTAAGTTATTTCATTGTTCAACTTCACCTTCAAATTTGTTTTACTGTCCAAAATTGATATTGAAAACAGATAGTTAAATTTATGTCACATGTCAATTTACTTCTCTCTTCAATTTTACTAAGATTGTAGAATGAAATATTTATTTCACTGTTCAACCTATGTCTTTATCATGTAAACAAATAAAATTGAACAGTGAAATATGTCAAATTTTACGATCGAGTTTATTTATGTAAGCCCCCATGCATTTACTTAAATTATATTAGACTATCATGTACTGTATTAATATAAAATAAATTAAGGGTAGGTGATATGGGTGTAATAGAAGTTTGGAAGTGTTTCTAAGCTTAAACGCACTTTTGAGAGAATTGGGTAGAAAGAAATTAGATACTACATTAGTATTTTAGCCTCAAATTTTTACTTTGATATTCAATTGTGTTGATTCTTATTGCAGTAGAAACTAGACTTCAATGGTTACAAATGTGTATTTCATGAAAATTTCGTAAATCAACTTCTAAGTAGGTAAACATAGGCTTGAAAAGTGTAATAGGTTACCAAACTTAGGAGTACGTTCCAACTCAGTTCATGCTTGATGGATTTTGAGCAGACAGAACAGGAAATGTGATGCCCTAATTTCCAAGGGTCTCGATTAATTTGTTGATCACCCCTTAATCCACGGAATAACCTGTGACCGCTTAACCCAATAACAATTAGTAATACCCCATTCACCGGAGTCCATACCTCACGAAATCTGGACAAAGTCTCCTTTATATAGGTAATTCTACCCAAAACACAACTTGTACATTCTAATACTCTTTTGACTATTCCATGGCCTAACATCAATATTCAAGCATTTTATACATTGAATATCCATCCACAACCATTGTCATACAACATCCATTCATAAAAGAACAAGTACCCATACATTAAGTCCCAATTACATGTCTTTGTTTCAAAAGAATATACAAGTTTTAGTTTTGCAAAATATACAAGGCTAAAATGTAAATTTTCACAAGGGACTAAAAAACTCCAACTCAAGAGCCATAACCCGGCTATCTCCTCAAAGCGGGCCCATATGAGGGCCTCTTGTGGATGGCTGTCCTGTACTTGAAATGTATTCTCATAAAGGGTAAATCACGCTTAATATGATATCTCCTATGGAGATTACCTCCCAACCTAGATGCATATGAAATGTCACATGCAAATTATCATGTTAAGCATCCATTCAAATACATAAATTTCATAAATGAATGCCACAATTCCATACTATGCCATGAGATGAGAACTCACACATGCAATGCAAACTGAACCTTACCGGTTCCCATAACACATGTTATACCATGCGTATACATCCAGACATTCCAAGTCTCCACCATTGATATTAAACATCCAATGTCTATTTTATAAAAACCTATGTTTTTCTTGGGATAGGTATTTATGGGCTTCCACCAACAGTCACCTAACCGACACGACTTCTATGGATTTCTAGTAGTGGTTCTGCGTACATCAACACACTTTACGGACTCAATACCAACGGGAGTGCGTATCCAAAATTATTAGGTCTTTCACCCGAGGAAGAATGTAACCCTTCTTGCTAACCTCAACACTTTTTTTTTTTAATGCAAATCCATGCGACTCAGCTAGACGTAAGTTCAACTTTTCTGAGCCTATGTATCAACCCACCAAGAATAGTATTTGACTAAAAACATGCACACAAACCCACACTCATGTCAGATGTCTGCGAATGTGATGCTACCCATGCATATGCAATTAAAATGTATAATTGCAATTCATATCATCATGCTCATCATATCATAAAACATATAATAAACATGTCCATTTTTCACAAGAATTCTCAAGCATGTCACATGTGATTTCAATCCAAATAACATGCTTGAATTTCTAAGCATTTAATCAAACACTTGATAGGCATAAAATGTAAACACGTCGCATGCCCAAAAAAGCCATTTCCTCATCCAAACGTCTAACTACTAGTAGGTTGTGCCTTTCCTACCAGTAGGTTCACATTTTCGAACCCAAATTCAAATCAAGCAAGGATTGGTTTTAATATTTTCTCATATCCATTCTTCATATCCTAGATACACTAGGTGAGAGCTAATACATGAGAATTTATCTCTATTTCGCTACCCATTTCATATCACAATACTAGGTTGGAAATAAACCTAGATAGGAGGAAACCCTACATCTTGTAGTGTAAGTCTGCGTAGTAGAAGTCTCAAGAACCCCAAATCAAGACTTCCAATATTTAGCCTTAAATTCTCGTCTTTGAGATTTTGGAGAAAAACACGATCTTTGATATGTTGCGTAGAACAACTTTAACTCTTGGCCCGAAGCAATCCAATGGTTGAATCTTTGCAAATCTAAGAAGAAAGATGGAGGAGGCTTGAAGAACTTATCCCTTATCTCTTTCTTTCTCTCTCAAAAAATGCAGGCCAAAGAATGGGAAAAAAACAAATTTCCCCCCTTTAAAACTCTCCTTATGCTTGGCTCACAATGTGCCACATGTCCCACTTTAATTGATCCAATTTTATTTCGAATCAATTAAATCTCACCCCCGTGTTAAGTTTAATATATTTTTATTGAACTAACTTTAAATTATTTTTCGATTCACGTGAACAAAATTTGATCGCATTTATTTTTGTCATG